TCAAATTAGTAACTATTATATTAAATGAATGAATCTATTTACTCATAAATAATAAATAAATATACTGTTAATTCAAATTTTATAGTAAATAATAATATAAAAAATTAACAAATAATATTATGAAAATAAGTTTTTATTTTTTTTGAAAAAATATTTTTTATAAATAGAATTAGAGTAATTATTATTTAGCAAAGATATTAAAAATATGCTTGGAAAGAGAGTTTTAAAGAGAAATAAAGGGGAAGATATATTTTTTTAATCTTAAATTAAGAAAATTATATATAATTTATAATAAAGACATAATTAATACATTAAAATATTATTATATCAATTTATATTTTTAATTAAAAATTAATTTTAAGTATATTAATTTTTTTTTAAATTATCCTCTCGCCTCTCAAACTTCTTTCCCAGACAACCATTAAATATGTTAGACTAAGAATTTTATAGTATATACCATTGACTCCAATTAACTTTAAAGTAAAGAAAACGGATTCTATAGAATTAAAAACACGTTGCATTGATTTGATTTAGTAAGATGCCAAAATGAGTAGAAATGTGGTATATACGAACTACAGCTAGCAACAGAATAGAATTAATTATAACAGTAAGATTCAAACTATCTTCCTAACTACATAACCAACTAGCTTTTGGCATGTGCAATAACTATGTATGACCCTATCTTAAACACTGCCTTCGTAGTTCGTACATTGATCTATGCAAGCGGGTCCCACACTGTCGCAATTACAGAATTGTCCCTAATTAGCCTCTTGTGAATACTTAACTTTGATCACCCTATTTCTATTTTCAGAATATCTAAATAAGTATTTTTTTTAATTTTTTTTATAAAAAATAAAAGACTAAATTGTTAGGATAAAAAAATTAATTAATTTTATTATATTTTTTATAAATATAAATTTTATTTTAAAAATATTTATAATATTAAATAATATAATTAATAATTTATATATTTAATAATACCAATAAAAGAAAGATATAAATTTTTTTTTATCAATTAATGCATCTTGAATCTATCATTTATTTTTTGTATTAAAGATAAAAAAAATTTTATTTTATTTCTTATAAATAAAATCGAAGGGAGTAATCTTTTACATTAATAAAGAAAGAAAAAGAAAAATATATAATGAAAAAAGAGCCAAACATATAATAGAGTGCTATTAATGGTTAATTAGAAGTATATAAAAAATGAAAATGTTAACTTCTTAAGACGTATTTAAATACTTAAAAATATAAAATTTTATTAAAAAAATATATATTATAATTTTAATATAATAAAAAAATTATTACTTTTAAGCGTTTAAACTTATCCAAAGAGATTATTACGTAAAAAATGGTCCAAGTATGCGATTTCGAATTTCATTTTTGAAATGCATGCTGGAAAATGACGTAGTGTTAAGACTTTATCTTTGTAGTCTCTTTCTTTTACGTTCAACACTTTTTAATTATTTTCAGATAATTTTTTAATTTAATAAGTTTAAAATTTTTCTTATATGTTTTGAAATTAATTAAAAACAATAAGTAGATAAAACAAAACAAAAATTTAGCTCGACTAGATTAAAAAAAATTATTTTTTCAAATTTGAGTTGAATTTATTTCTTAGGTGATAATTTAAAAAAACCTCAAAAAATATTAAAAAAATAAAATTTTCAAAAAAAAGTAAAATTATATATATATATATATATATATATATATATTTATAAATATGTAACTTTGATTTCTCATTATATCAACAAATACATTAGAGTCTCTGTTAAATTAAATTAATTTTAAAAATATTTTTGTTCCTATTATTTGTAGAGTTCATAAAAAAAATTGTATACTAAGCTAAACAAAAGTAGTTATATTAACTTTTAATGTATGCATATATTTATTATTTTAGTCTTTAAAATAGTTGATTTTTAATTAGGCTAATTAAAATGTTAATATTAAATAAAATATACAAGTAATCTTGATGTTAGGTGTTGTAGAAGGAACTATTTCTAAAATTTCACAAATTTCATCTACTTTGAAACGTTTTTCATTATTGTTTGACCATGACTTTGCTCTTTTTGCCACATTTTCCTTGCTTATTTATATATAATAGGTAAGGATGACAATAGGTAAAGTATCTGATGAACACCCATAAAATTTACCCACAATAGAAAGAGTATTTACCCGATAAATAGATACAGATATGAATATGGTTAAATACTCACAAATTTTAATAGGAATGAGTGTGGGTATGAGTATTTAAATACCCACCCAGTCTCATACCCGCATATATATATATATATATATATATATATATATATATGCTTGAATTTTGTTTTATAATTTTGTATTATTATACTGCCTATGTGAAGTTATATAATATTAATATAAAAATATATTTAATAATAAAGTAAAATAAAAAATTTATTTTGGTTTATATTTTTAATAGAAAAATTTATTTACTATTTTATATTATTTAATTAGGCTAATATAATTTAATTATTAGGTTAATATAATTTACGTTCAAAGAAGTTTTTGAAAAGATATAAAATATAAAAAAAATTATTGTTAATTTTTATTTGTTAATTTTTTTTAGATAAAAATGTATAATTTTTTTTATATACACGTATATTTTTTATTATAAAATTTTATTGTGACCATTTATTTTTTATTCAAATTCTTTTTTTTTCAAATTTATATAAATTATAAATATTTAATTAATTAAAATAAATTTTTAAAAATTTATATTTTTTATAAAATACTTTTGTATATTACATGAGTTAAAAATATTAGTATTAATATATATATATATATATATATTATTTTAATTAAATCTGTTATTTTTTTTTTACAATTTCATATTCAAAAATTAAAAAAAAAATTATGTATCCACTTTTCGTTGTCATTTAGTACTTAAACTTTTCTACCCTAACTCTACTCTCATTGTCAATGTCTGTCACATTAAAACATAGCAACTATGAAATGTTATTCGTTGGAGTTAGTTATCAATGCCACTACAAGAGGTCACCAAGTGATGCCACACGAAGAGTCACTTATTGTATAGATCTATTTCGTTATCGTTCTAATTTGCCAATCAATCTAATCTCATACAAGATAGGGTCATCGCCGACAAATAACTTGTGTGTTTAATTTCGCTTATTATTTCTAAAAGTTTTAGTTTAGAAAATTATTGTATTAAGATACATTTAGCATTTGTGATCTTTGAACATTTATTTTTTTATCTATGTTTGTACCTTATTCGACAACTTCTTATTGAATTTTTGTATTATTATGCTACTTATATGAACTTATATAAACATATTTTTTTTTATAAATATTTTTTTTTCAATTAAACGCAAATAATGAGTGCAAAATGGGTATACAAGTACCCAAAAGGTACAACTATAAAGATTAATATTTATACTTATGCAGATATAGAACTGGGTATGAGTATTTTTGTAAGATGTGGGTATAGAGATAGGTACTATAGTACCTTACCCATCCCCTACTAATTATCATCCTTAATGATAGGAATAAAGTTAACCAATTAGAAAGAGTGAAAACAACAAAGCTACCTCTTTTCATTTTGGCTTAAACTACTTGTAATCCACCATTCCATCTCCATCTACCTTCATTATCAACTTCTTGCGATCTTTCATCGTTCTTCCCTTTTTAACCCTAAAACAATCCTCAACTCTTCAACAGTTACAAAGTCATCCCTAATTTGCTTATCACTCTTATGATTTGTTTAACTCTTCAACCACATTGATAATGTCCCTAACTTCTTCAACTAGTAGTTTAGCTTTTTTTTTTTTTTTTAATAATAAAAAGAGCAAAATAACAAAAATAAAAATGACAAAAAATTATTTTAAAATTTTCAAAATTAAATTGAATACTTTTAAAAATAACTCATTTAACTTAAACCACGACATCTAACATTAAAGTCATGTGTACATCTATTTGACATATACCACGTTAACATTTTTATTAATTTATTTAATGATCGGTTCTTTAATGATTAAAATAGTTGATAATTATATACGTTAGAAATAATATAACTATATTTTTTAGATTGAAAATTATTTTGATAAGTCTAAAAATGATGAAGACTAAAATATAATTTTTTCAATTAGTTTTTTATAATTTATTTATGAAATTCTTTTTTTTTTATTTTTAATTCATAAAAAGAGTAAAATAAACATCTTTCAATATGTTTAATTTGATTAAATACTTGCCGGATTAGGCGAGTGACTTATGAGTATAATAAAATTAAGATCTTACAATTGACTTTCCTATAAAATTGAAGTTTTTATAAGTAAATCCTTCAAATTGCATGCAAGCCAATATAATTTTTTGAAAAAAAAAATTAAGTATTGATTTAATCGTGACACCCTTTTTACTCCTTGTATTTATAATAGCGTTTTGGAATATATCCCTTCACACTGTTGTCAATAATGATAATTAAATATTTTAATTTTCTTAGATTTACTTTCTTTTATATTTTTTTTAACATTAATTTTTTCTTTTACTCTATCGATCTTTTTTATATCATATCTCTCACTTTTAAAAATTTTTTTTGTCTTGTTCTTTTTCCTTTTTCCTTTCTATCCATTTTGCAACTCAGAAGAATGTGACAAAAAATAAAAACAATATCCTATAACTAAAAACAAGCATACCAATGTTACTGTCAACCCTAAACAAAATAGAGGAGAATTTAATGATGCTTACAAGTCATTCAGTTCCCTCCCTACAGCGACTTTGATTTTATCCGCGTGGTGTAAGATTTTGACCAATGACCTGTCCAATAATGGCATGCAAGACCCACTACCAACTGGTTCCGCACATAGTCACGAAATTTCGTATGTGTTTCCATAAGATCTCAGCGCAATTTATATAAATAGCCAAACTCTGCATATGGAAACCCCAAGCTCAAAGTTCATAAGCTCTCAAGTTCCCTAATTCACTATAATATATCACGAAGAAATTAGCATACATTCACAGATTTAAAGATGCTTAGGTCTTTTGTGGGGAAAATACAAAAGGGTCTCTCACTAATTGTGCCACTGGAAACTGCAAATGTGGTGCCGAATGATGTTAGGAAAGGTTATTTTGCTGTTCTTGCAATCAAAGATGGAGAAACTAAAAGGTTTGTTGTAGACTTAGACTACTTGACTGATCCTGCATTCTTGGGACTCTTGGACCAAGCTCAAGAAGAATATGGTTTCAGACAGAAGGGAACTCTTGCAGTCCCTTGTCGGCCTCAGGAATTCCAGAAGATTCTAGATGGTTGGAGAACCTAGATCAGAAAGCATCAACAAGTTTTAGTTTGTAGCTATAATGTTAATAGCCTTTTGCAACATATTCCTTGAAGATGTGTATGTATAATGATTCATTATATTCTTTTGGGCAATTGATTGTCACTTATTGAAATTAATAGAAGTTAAATATTATTGCATATATCAACAATTTCTTCGGTGTAAGATCAATTATTTGGATGCAACAAGTTTCTGTGAGCTAAGCTTGTTAAGCTCTTTTTTTCTTGGTTCCTATCGATAACGCTATCCGATCCTTTCCGTAGCCACAATTGATAAAACGAACACTTGTTACCTTGGGAAAATATGGCTGGTGTGCAATCATAACGATGTAATAGGTCGTTACGTTTATTTTATCAAGCGAACTTACTCTCTCCTTTTAAACCTGAGTACCAGCTGTTATCGAAATTCCATCGTGCATGGTTTCTATCAGATTGGTTAATGTGTCCTGCAGTTTGTATGAATATTTTATGTAGTGTGTAAGTATCAAGATTTCGTCATTTATAATTCTCACATAGCTTTTTGTTATATTTCATGTAAATTTATTTATTTTTCTTTTTTTTCCCTCTTCTCTTTATATATATCTTCTTTGTACCCCAACTATAGTGAAGCTACAAATATCGTTCTTTTGTAAATAGGTCAAATAACAATTTTATTCCTATTTTATAAAATATTTTTGTTAATCCCAGAAATTCTCACACTCTTTTTTAAAAGCATGATTTCTGTCTAGTGTTTTAATTTCCATTCAATTTTGATTTTATATTAATTTTTCATATTGCATTATACCTTTGTATTTTTGAAATTTTCAAAATTTGCCGTATTTTTAATATTCTTGTCATATCGCATATTCATATCTGATGTTGAATCATACTTTCCTTATTACGAATGAAGAAAGTTTCATATTAGAAACTAGTTTCGGGTTGTTGTATCAAACTTTAACGTTGTCTATCATGAACATCAAAGATTAATCTTATAATCATTTGGATAAAGAATGTCTTAGTGCATAGAAAAACTTATACATGCGTTGTCGATGACAAAATTGTGACGGCAATATATAGTGGTGCCAGAAGATAGCAATAGTAATTATTTGCCGTTGTAGCAATCAACGGTCAGGAAACCATCAGTGAAGAGGTTAATTAGTTTATTGTCCTTTGGTCATACGGAACATTGAGAAGGTGAAAAAAGAAGAAGCCGAGATCACTGATCGTGATTGTCGTTACCGTAATGCTAGTGGCCGGATATCATTTTAGAGAAGTTATATATATGCATGCTATTATTATCCGTGTTAAAAATGTTATGAAATATATTAGATATTCTTGCGTACGATGGTTGTAATTAACTTATGCATGAAATATTTTACATCGGGGTGATAAGAAGGAAAAACTTCAATTTTAATTGTATCTCGTATTAATTGAGTAAAAAAAAAAAGATTTTATGGAAACATACTCCCTTATGTCGAACAAGTACAAAGTTTCAACAGTCGGCAGATCTGGTTTTACCAAGTCAAGTAAAAAATTATAAATGAGACTCTTAATATATATATATTAAACTTGTCTCTATCATTGTCTCATCTCATGTTATGACACTGGGAAAGCTTCTAAAATATGACTTCGTTGACATTATGATGTTTATATACAATTTTTTTTCATTATAAAGTATATGTCCATGTCAAAGACACTTATCCACAATAAACCACCTCCTTCAAATGCTCTAAATCAAAATAGTGGGGAAATCTTCCCCTTCTCTCATTCTTTTTTTTCAAGTCAAAAGAACAATTATCATTAACACAGAAAAAATTACAAACAGTGAATATAAGAAATACTCAAGTAAGATTAAGTAGGTCAGTCACAATCTAGTAAAACACACCAAACACATTGTTATCCAGAAACCATAAATACATATCAGACCTGCCCTTTTGCTCATTCTTATTACTACAGGATTATAAATTTCTACCAAGCAAACACTCAAATCCATAACAAGATTCCTATTTCAATACATAGTCTCAACCAACCCATATAATAAACTCTTAAGATTATGATTCATCCTCATGCTGAGGGAGAAAAACAAAGACGATGGTTTCACGGGTTTAGGGTTGGTCAAAAGTTAGGTGAGAAGTTGCTGTTGGATCGGAACTGTTTGGGCACGGCAGCTTTGGGGCAGAGAAGGCAATTGGTTTGCAATTCTTTGTTCTGATGCGCTCGCTGTGAATGAAAACAGAAGAGTAACACACGGACAGCTTAATGGGTTGAAATTTATAATTAAATATATTCATATTTCTAATATAATAAAATAAGAAAAAGTATATATTATATATATAAGGATTAAAATAAGAAAGTGTATAAAATCTATTCACTCGTCATAAATTTTTTAATCCTGTCAAACTACTCTTCACACTATTACAAGATGAGATAATAAAGATAATTTTGCAAACATCAAATGAAGGACTCATTTATAAACCTTTTTACATAAGGACCAAAAAAAAAAAAAAAGCTTGTATAAAAAAAATTTAAATAGAAAAAAAATAGTTTGCAAACTTCACTAAAAACAGGTTTTATCTGACTCATTTGCCGACAACCCTAAACACCATATATCTACGGCGTGGACAACAAAAAAAGAAATATTTGAACCCAAAACCAAAATCACTTTACAAACTTGAATCGACAGAGTTGATCTGATTCATTCTGCCGACACCGCCCACAAACACCATCTACCGAGTAGACACGTTAATTGTCTGCGTGTACGTATACGTGTCCATAAAGACGAAAACGACATCCAAAATGTTGCACTAAGTGCCATGTTTCTGCACCAACAAGCAGAGCCTCCCCCCGCCTCTTTCTCAAGAATTATTACGTGTTTGCTTCTCCACATTAATTCTGAAATAATAAAACTGCATACTCATCTAAACAAACTTTCAACATCACTGATTACTATACTAATCTTATAGAGAAATCATGATATTAAGTCATTAGAATAATCAATACATGCAATATATATCCTAACATCAATCATTATTTGGCGATGGTCTTTACTCTTTGCTACAACGAGACCACCTCCACTCAGCTACTTGAAGGAAGATCAACCGGATATATATGCAGCAACATTGGTTCTAGATGGCAAAGATGGAGGCAGTTTAGCTATCCCATGAATAGCTAGTGATGGGTCATTCTGCATGTGTAGACTTATGTTTTCTTTTTCTTTTTCTTTTTCTTTTTTTTTATAGCGCCGTTTCCCACAATTGACCGGCAATGGGAAAGAAATTTGTTGAATTAATTTGCACATTAATACATCAATTCAAATCAAGCATCTTGCTCGAGATTGGTGGAGAATCCACTCTATAAAGTTGCCCTTAAATGTGCCTTGTCTGCCCCAAAACCCTTTATACTAAGCATATAACAGAAGAACGTGCATTTTGCTGTTTGAGAAGACTGATGAAAAGAAATTTTTGTTATTGAATCACAAACATTAATTAACTAATACAGCTTTTTTGAAATTAATTTTTAAAATTTTTATTTATTTATTTTGGTCTAACTCTTGGGCTTTTTTATTTATTTAATATAAATTTAAAAAATAATTCTTAAATTAAAATAACAAAAAAAATAATTTCCTTGACACGTCAATAATAGTTTCATATTTATTCTGAACGAAACTATTTTTTTTTAATTAATCAATTTCGTCTAACAAAAGAGATGAAATTCTCGTAATCTGATACGTATAAGTAATTTTATCTAATTATGAGACCACACAAGAAAATTTTAAAATTATTTAATCTTATAATTTTATCTCACATAACACAATACACCTATTTGTCTTTTTTTTTTCTCTTCCCACTATCATAATTTATTATTTCATTATTTTGCTCTTGTAACTCTTAACTCTACAAGTTTTATACAACATAACATACTTTTTCCACCACTTATGGTAACTCTTAACAATCCATTTCTTTTTCTCTCTTTACACTTTTCAAAATACAACTCATTTAATTTTGTCTCTCTTCTCACTATTAATCTCATTTATTATTTCATTATTTCTATAGTCATAACTCTACACGTTCCATATAATACAATTCATCTCTTTTTCTCTCTCCCCCACCAATACAACTTATTTCTTTTTTTCTCCCTCTCCACCACCAATCTCATTTATTATTTCATTATTTTCGCTCTCCTATATCTACACTTTTCACACAACACAACTCATTTTTTGTTCTTTCTCTTCTCATCACCAACCTCATTTGATTGGGCCACGTGTCACCTAGGGTTTGAATTTCCTTCTCTCATCTTATGTTTGGACGAAACTACCTACACATATCAAGTTATAAGAGTTTCGTCTCTTTTCTAAACAAAATTAGTTAATTAAAAATAAAAAATAGTTTTGTCTAGAATAAATACAACACTATTATTCACGTAGCAGAAAAAAAAAACCTTAGACAAAAAAATTATTTTTTATTATTTTAATTTAAGAATTTCTTTTTAAATTTGTATTAAATAAATAAAAAAGTCAACTCTTGAACTAAAGATGATATTTGTTTTGATAACCAAATATTATTAATAATGAAAATGTAAAGAGTACGTGTTGGGCAAACCAAAACCCTAAAAACATACATACCAATGCCACTGTGTTATATACTTCCAAGAAGAATTGGGTGAGCAATGAAAGATACAATGCATGTAGCATCACATCGTAATGTTTTCCCTCATTGGAATTTTGACCTTATCTGCACGGCTCCAATACATTGGAAAGAGATTAGACATTCCAAATATTATTGCAAAAGATAATATTACCATATATTGCTCTTTCTTGTACCAAAATTAGTTTATTTTTTCTCTCTCTCTCTCTCACATATATATATATATATATATATATATTGTATATTATTGAACTCTTTTTTTCAACTCTTTACACCGGAAAAATGAAATGTACATTGATTGTTATCCTTTTGTAAATGACATTAAAGTGATAAAAATCAAACTTTAATTAACTTCAAGGAATAT